ACCAATAAAATCAGCATACTTGATAAATATAGGAATATACCTATTTGCAAGAGACCCACCATCATGTCAAACGAGTACGAAAAATACGAGCGTATAAATCTTTCCTTGAATGTTGATCTGCGAGGGAACGTGTAGATTCTAATTACTATACACACCTGACAGTGGCAATTTTACAAACTGAGAATTAACGAGCGATCCGCGTAGTTGCACCGGTTGCCTACCGTTAATTACAGAAAAATATATGACGCAGCAAATTCTAGACACAAGGAACGAAACATTGATTTAAAAAAGCGAAGACAAAAAGATATAGTTTATATCGGCGCTGTTCGATCTCTTAATTCACATATTCTGGTGAATATGTGCATTTGAAATTATACAAATGTTATTTCCTATTTGCATGTATTTTGCAATATGATCGATTTATTCGACTTGAAAGAGAGCAAGAGGAAATATTATTTTCATATTTCCAAAGTTAACCGTTCGAAACAAATAAGCTTCGCTACGTTGACTGTAGCTTTTAAAAATCGGCTCGAAGTTTCCCTCCGATTGCCGTCAGAAAAATTTTCGTTCGCTTACAGAAAAAAAAAAAAAAAGAAAAAGATTCGAATTGAAAATCTGGAAACTAATTACTTTAAGTCGTTTTTGGTATCCTTGTACAAGTTTCCAGAACGTGAATATAAATCAACGAGGATTGTCAAGTCTCAAAGCTGACCGATAATTTCGCGAGAAGATCGCGCAAGAACAAACGACGTAAGACATTCCGAAGCTCCGTTTCATTTCCTTCGAGTTCTGAGAATAATGCTTGACTTATTTTATCTGGGCTCGTTCGGGCGTGCATTACGCGGATGATAACTGGGACGCGAGTCGTTCCGCTCGTTTTCGGGCAACGCGAAGCGATTCCGCGGGAACCTGGCCAGACAACAGAAACGATAGTGGCGTGCAACACGCTTGTTTCTTGTTCGCAACGTATCGGGAAATTGATATATATCTCAGGACTATGAGTGAAACGCGATATTCAGCCTCAGCCCGGACAACAGCCATCAAACAGATTAAAATATACATCGTGACAATTAAGATATTCTGTTGCAACGAGCTGCCTCATTGTCGATCTGTCTTCAAGTTCCTCGATTGTTCGTGTGAATTGTTCGTGAGAATATGCTTGACAGTTGAATCAGATTGAAACTTGATATTTAAATTCCTCTTCAATTGTACGAGAATTTAGGCTCGCTGTACATGTATTTATGGGTATTCTATCAATGAACTCAATGAACACAATGAATTGAAAGTTAACAAAGTTGAATCAATTCAGATTTATTTCCAACATGCTCTTCAAATAAAGGAATTATGTGTAATAAAAATTTCAATCTTGGAAAGTATAATTTCGTTAATATAACTTGTCGAGGAGATATCGCGCGTTCAGTGATTATTAAACAAGTAGGCAAAACACGTTGCAAACTTGTTGCAATCTAATTATTCTACATTCTCACAAACGAACGTTGATGCAATGGTGTTGCTCGGCTTGCATAAAGGCTACTCTTTCCACTCTTGCAGTTCACACTCTGCTGTTTGCTTCGTTAGTTGCATTTGCACCTATCGTTTGGTTATTACAGAGATACGCGAAATGCCAAGCATATCCATCATTATCCCCTCGAAAAGTTCCACCTCGCGGAATTGGCACACGTGATCGAGATTCTCGTGTTGTTCTGATGATACATCAAGCTCGCGGAAGATAAATCGATCCCTGCTCCGATAGGATCATCCGTTGGAATAATTTCAATGCAAATTGAACTGTAGACTCGCAAGAAGTATCCGAAAGAAATTAGAATATGACACGAAAATAATATGTATTTTGCAAACGACAAAATTTCGCACATTTCTGGTAACGATTTATCATTCAGCTTGCACATGAAAAAAGTGGACGCGGTTATGGTTGACGGATGAGATAGACAGCGGAGTCACCGAACTCGGTCAGGTGTCAACATTTACATGTTGAAGAGTCTAGACGACGACTGAATTGATAGAAATCTGAAGTAGCGGCAAAGACCTGAGATATACTAGTCAGAAGTGCTGGATGAGTACCTCGGCTTTTGATTTAGTTTCTATCGAAAAACGATATTCCTATCGAGAAGTGCAGCGATGCACGTGCAAATGGGGCTGCTTGATGCTTTAATTCAAGACCACGTCGACTGTACGCGCTGAACGTGTCGTTTAATGCGATTTTAAATGTGGTT